AGTGGAGCTGCACGTATTGTACCGTAGGTTTTCTATAGTATTTGGTATAACTATACCTAAGTATACTTTTTGGAATACCTAGCTGTAAAGGTTGCTAAGTGTTGAGCACTATGTATAATTTCAAATCCAATTGTACATTCATTGTTATTATTTATTGTTGTATGTACCTAGTGTTAAGTTAGTAAAGTTATGCCTTGTTAACATTCTGACATTTTAAAAGATAAACTTCCTGTGTTTCATTCGTCATTTCTTCTCATAGATGTATGTTCCTTCCGAAAGAGTGGTAGTTTATATTAAGTTTCGATAAGTTAAGTTGAACGATGTACATTAGGTCCATTGAATAAAACATTTAAACTTTAAAGTAATATTTAAAATAGCGGAGGGGTGGGGCGTCGAATTTCCGGGCGGCAAAAACCCACTTTACACCACTGACCATTTCATAATAAAAATGTCGACATTTGGTTTGGACAAGATTTCGATTATTTTGTTTTAAAAAACATAATGCCATTCCAACATATTATTTAATCTTTATAACCTAATGAAAAATAGAAGATAAGATCATTGCCTCTTTTATGTTTGTCTTCTTTGAACATCAGTACACCAGATCTGCGGGACTAGCCAAGTTAACTTCCTACAGTCTTTAATGCTGGTAGTAAACTATTAAATAATAAAAGTATATTAAAATATAGTTACTCTTAATTAAAAGTAGAAGCAACCAGCTTAGCTTGAGAAGTCAGTACTGAGAGTGTTTAGAATTAGCCCCCAGTTTTAAAGTTAATATTTGAAAGTGATATATTCTTTAGTCAGCTTTTAAGTTCAATTATTTTGACCCTTCTGAAGGGACATAGCACAAGTTTGAATATCACCTAAGTGGATTAAAAACCTCATTCCCTATTTTTCCACACTTAGGGGTAGAATTTTATTTTTCAAACCACTAGGACCACCCCTTAAGTTTAACCCAATTCTATAAAAAAAAAGAATAATTTAATTTGGTTCACAATTGAGGATGATATCGAGTAACATGCGTAGAAATAACTTAAACTGAAGATTTAAAGAAGCCCCAAAACAGAAAAAGCAGATAACCTTCAAACGGCTGAACGGTTTTTGATAAAACATATCTAAGAAAACCTGCTTGCAGATTTCGGAGTGGGCACGCTTGACAAGTGCATTAGCAACCGCAGTCTTTTATAATATCGAGCTGATATGAACTGAAACTTCAGCTGCCCGTATTCTGTTTCAGTTTCCCTCTGTCGCCTCTTTTACGACACCCACGTGACGGCATGAGGTAGTGAATATTCTTACACCGCCACTAATATTGGTAATTTCATCGTCAACATCAACAAAAATGTCCTCCCAAGCCGTTTATTAAAACAAAATTATATGCGCACAACATTTTTATTAGTTACTACAACGTTATGGCAAATTTCAAAATAATCGATAAAATTATAATTATATCAAGCATTATAAATTACAATTTGATCAGTGTTTACTAATAATAATGTAATTTGAACAAGCTTTATTTTTAACAAAATTGTAGAATACATTTTAATCTATCTCGTTCAAATTGAACTAAAACTAGAGCAACAAAGAAATATTAAGTTGTCCTATCTGACCGATATGAATTTCATGAGCTAAAGTAAACTATATTAGTCTAATTAAAGCCAACATAAATTGTGTGAAAATGGGTCACTAGAAAATAAAAAAAGATCAAAATTGTTTTTAGTTCGGTTTTTATTTTTGATCTTTGAATCGTTATTATTCGGCTCATTCCGAAAAAAAAACACGTTATAGTTAAACATAAAACAAGTAAAATTAGTAAAAACCAAAAATAAATCTATCATTTCGGGACAATAGAAAGTGTTATTTTTTAATTTTGAAAAGAAAAAATTGTTCGAAAAACTGCTTTGTCTTGGATATAAAAGGCATTAAGCAATTTCAGGTCACTTTGCCGAAATTCTGACTGTGACAATATAGTATACTAGTTTATCTAAAAAAAAACAAGCTTGAAGCTCTATTAACGGATGCAGGGAATGAAATGATATTGTATATATTGATAATAGAAATTAAAACACAACTGTCCATAACTGGAAGACGTTTAGGACAACACGATAGACTAATAAAAAGGATTAATGACGATGTAATGTCATGTATCCTACTACTAAAAACGAAAATTTATATATAATTTAATTAATGAGATTCAGTATTATATGAGATAATAACTAATTATAGTTTACAGAAAATGTACAGTAAAGAGCTTTCCTTGTGGATGTAGAAATAATATACAACTGTTTAAATTATTACCTACAGTGGAAAAAAAATCTCGATCCGAACAAAAATGATAGTTATAGTGAATATAATCCAGCGGTTTCCAAAAACCGATTTTAAAAAAGCGCGGTATCGTGTGACGTAATTTCTTACTGCGTATGGTGTAGTGCGTCGGGCCCAGTAAAATAAAAAGCTTCATACAAATTGCAACAATTTAACCGACTTACGGGTTGAATTTTCCAAAAAATTTGCAAAAACTACTGTTTTTTTTTTTTTTTTTTTTTTGAAGAAAGGTTCTTTGCCACTTGTGTTTATTATTTATATTTGTATTTTATTACGATAACCATAAAGAATAAAATAGCACTCTATTTTATTCTTCGAATAGAAAAACATTTATTTAACAAACACAATAAAAACAATAAAACAAAAGCAAAATAATAAGTGCGCTTTCGGGTGTACCGACACCACTAGTCAACAGACTACAGTATGGGTTTCAGTGTTTATATAAAAATAGGTAGTAGGTTTTGCCGCATTCAATCAAAATTATTGTGTAAACTAGTATTAATTTCATTATTTCTGGACCAATTTACGGCATTTTAAATTCATTATCTTCAGAAAAACACTCATGTAATTAAAGAGGTTTAAAACCAAATTTCCGTTAAGTGCGAAAGGCTCGTTTTAAAAGATATTATAATGTTTAAAAATGTTAAAGAGCGTTATTTAACGTTTTGTTCTACAAATAAAATTGTCGTACAATGTCTTTATCAATATGTTATCTCAGACCAACAAAGAAAGACAGACAGAGCGCTGTGGGGTTTAGAATCATAGTTTGAAGTGACTTATATTGTCCGTTGCAAATGATTATAGATACATAATATGTGTGCGTAAGTGGTGTGTTTGTTGAGTAGTTTGAAATGTATGCGGCACTCCTTCTATTTTCTGAGTAACTTTATTGTTCTGAGTACGCAATATTATCTAAAAATGCACCGAATATAAAAGTCTATACTATAACTTATATTTATATTACCATGTTCTCATTATCACAAATACTTAAATAGAAATATTACATACAAAAATAAATGATTTTGCCCATATTCTATTCACTCACAGAAATATGAACCATCTAAAATAACAATTTTACATTGAATAAAACTAGTTTTTTACTTATATCTAATCACCTTATTTTTATCTATTATATAGCTATATAATAATAAAATAATTATTTTTATTTTTACAAATTATACAGTGAAAGAGCTATTAACGTCAAAAACATGATTTTAACAAGGAGACAATATAAAGGAATGATCTTTGCTAAAACAGAATAATAAAAACAAACGTCTCAATTTAATAGAAACCAAAGTATATCAAAACAATACATTTTACAAACAAGTAGTACAAACAAGTATTATAACATTATATCTACACTATAATATATTATAATACAATTGATGTAAATTGAGCTCACTTACAAAAATACAAGAAATTACCACTTCATGGCAATATTTACGTCGTAGCCGAACAGCTTAATTAGCCTTTTTACTAACCAGCGGTCTGGATGACATTCAGCCGCTGCGACTAATACATCATTACACATATCTTGTAATATCAGCGACAGTAGGCAAGGTGCAGCTGGGTTGGCCATAGTGCTAATTATGCGTAGACCAAGGACTATCTAGTTGAATGAAATTAATAGGCTGACCATGCTGTTAAGGTGATACCTCGTAAATTTTATGGTTGGAGAGATAAGCCACGCCCACTAAGCTAGGATTCATTTTCAAGGTAACCTCTTAAGAGGATACCTTGAAAATTAATTGAAATTTTGGGGGCGTGGCTTATTCCTTTGTCGGTGAAGCTAACGGACGACTGAGGGAGTGTCAAAATGAAAGTGATTCAATGACTTCATAGTACGCAAATTATGAGATAGCCATACCGAGCAAGCGCTCGGAAAAAACCAAGTAAGCGCCAAATTACATTTTTATTTATTTTAACAAAACTTTGTTATGGATTAAAAAACTAGTTTATGCGAACTTAGATATGGTTATTTACTATGGCTTAAAAATAATTCCATGAACTTATTCGTAAGAATATTGTGGTGTCATCGAGAAATGAAAACAATTAGAGCCTACTTTGAAATTTTTTTTCTATCGAGAAAATTACATGAAATCGTGGTTTCCTTTTATGCAATCCAAGGTCTTATAGTCAAAAATCATATACCAAAATTTTGGTTTGTAATATATAAAACTTAAAGAAATATGTTAAATAGAAAAACCACCAAATTTTCGAGGTATCACCTTAACTGAAAGGCTAATTAAGCTAGTTGGCTGCGACATTTATAAAACATAATAAAATACAAAAATATTTGTCACGCAAACAAAAATAGTAGTTATATATACCTGATTCGACACAACCCGGTTTTTTAAAGTAAAGCATGTACACGTGATATTTTGTTGACAAGTTTCTCATCCTAACATTAGAGTCACCCCTAATATATTTTAAGGTACTGCTTCTTCTGCCACACACAACTTTAACTGCCATGCCATACACTACACTAAGATATCATTGTAAATAGTCATACGTGCGTTTTGCAATACATATGATAACTTCCTAAAATAGAATGAAGTTTATTTGAAAATTGTGTTCGGTGACGGTGTCAACACCCACTTAGGGCGGGTTGTTTGTTAGTGAATCTCTTATTCATTAGTAAAAAGTTAAAGAAATTATAACTAAAATAATATTCAATAGCCTTTTGGAATGAGGTCATCAACATTCGTAATATTTTTGACGAAGTGCGGCCAATCCTTTATTATATTGAATAATTTGTCGCCTGGACTCAAAGTAGACATGAGATGTCTATGGGCGAATAGTTTATAGTCTTTCTTAAGCTTGCCTAATGTAACGCCTTGTTCAATTATTTTTTTACAAGCATCAACTTGCTGTTTCGGTGGTTCTTCATTATTAAAGGTTCCAATAAACGCTATTGCTATGCTGTACTTGTTGTAGCCTTTGGTATGAGCCCCAATATAATCCCAGCCGCGGCCGTAGTAAACGGAACCGTCGCCACCGACCAGAAAATTGTACCCAATATCGTACCACCCCCTAGATTCTATGTGGTATGTTTGTATCAGGCGCACTCGTAGAACACACTGACTCTGAAACATAAAAAGAATAACGTCAGTCTTCACTCTTTATCTTGTAAACACATCCTTTCTCATTTACAGAGATGGGAGTTAATGACCTTTTTAAATGAGAGATTTCATACAATACGCGATAACACCCCCCCCCCTCCCTGTAAACATCTCTAATTCCATAAGTCCAATTTTCTTAAGTTTAGGAATACCATAGTGTTGTTTCAAATAATTTTGTAGTCATCAATTAATTTTCTAATAAAATATAACCACCTGTTCACCGATTAAAACTACTTTTACGGATTTTATCGCGTTTTATTTATTTTATTTTTAATACCCGTCGTTTCGGGTGCTTTCCAGCACCCACGGTCACGGGGGGACTGAGGTGACTGACGTCCCGATTTCAAAGTTAACCCGGAGTACCTTCAGCTTTTTAATTATTGTCTTTGGTCCGATCTACGCAGAATGAACTGTGTTTTGAAGTCTTGCAGTGGTATGCTTGGGTTTAGTTACGCGTTTTTATTAAAACGCGATAAAATCCGTAAAAGTAGTTTTAATCAATGTATAGTGTTCGCGTAAATATAAGAAATCATTATGTAAACCACCTGTTCACCGTTAACTATTCTTAAAAACTGTTCAGAGCACTTTTCGTCCCTTGTGTATCACGCTACGAGCGCCTGCCGTCCACTATACCCCGCACGCGAGTACTCAATTTAAGCGGAATGTCTATAATGCCATAGTACCTCAGAGGTCTATTCTCTACGCAACTCTCTTTCTGCTGAATATCTATGACCTACTTATGCCCAATTAACGTAGGTGTACGCATGTGTATGCTTGTAGCTATGGCCGAGCAAGTGAATCACCACCGCAGGCAGTCTCCAAATGGGACGATGCCAATCTCGTGAAATGCAACGAGGCCAAAATAAAAGCATGTCTCTTCACCGCGAAAAAACACACCTTGGCTTCTTCATTAAGAAGTGTAGTATCATTAAAATTCACCGACCGCCTTCAGTTGCCGTGAGTTGAAGTATCTTCAAACTTGAACTTTGGGCAGTTCATTCAATCCAGAAATTTTGTCCTTGCACAGGTGCTGTATAAAGCGTAAGACCGGTTGTGCATGTAGTATTGCTGCCATGTATGAGCTGGTGCTGCAAAATGCCACCTGGACCTAATGAAAAAGCTTGCTAAGAAGCTAATTGGTAACATCAATATGGTTAGAACCAATCATACCAGTCTCGAGCACAGGTGCAAAGCAACCAGCCTTTCAATGTTTTACAGGATACATTTCAAAGTGTGCGCAGGATTCGTATGAATTTATTCCTTCCTCTCCACTCCATCATTGGACCACCAGACGCTCGGCTTGTCTCGATCCATTTAATAATTGCTTTGCTTCGTCGTTCATAATACATACAGCAAAGAAATGGAATAATTTGCCAGCATCTGTCTATAAATTTGATTATAATATAGATGTCTCCAAGAGTGAATGGACATTCTTTTTTTATATAGGATAGGGTGACAAACGAGCACACGATGATGGTAAGTGGTTGCTGCGGCCCATAGACATCTACATCTATCCTCGATTACGAATCAAAATGCAGATGCGTTGTCACCCGTGAGGACTAAGATGGAATGCCTCGTTTCCAGTAAAAAGAATCTCCGGTTCTCTACACTCACTCTACGAAACACGGCAGCATTAAGCTACTATTTTACATTGGTATTTTGTGAGAGCGTGGTACTGCCCCGGTCGAGCCGACCCATTCGTGCTACAACTATAATACTAATATAATTGCAGCATGGCTCTACTACGTAAAAAACAGGGCAGGCCTTTTTTGACCTAAGTCAGTGCACTTTTATTATCATTTACCATCAGGTGGGATAGTATTCAGCAACTGGCTTGTATAGAATACTATACTACTACAAATTTTTGCTTTGTATTGAATGCAAACAAAACAAGTTGAGTATTTACAGCTTGCTCAAATAACTTGTGTGTGAATTACTCTAATTAAACCTACTAACTTTAAATATATTTACTACTATTGATGGTTTGTTGATTGAAAAGTTCCTAACCTGAGTGCTACAGCTTTCAGTGGCAGTGTGGGTTATGATCACCCAAGGTACGGGTTGCACAATCTTATCCAGTACGGCTTCGACTGGTTGAGCGAGCCAATCCGTGCGGGAAACTATCCTAAGATGGTCCGGCGCTATCAGCAGTGGGTCCGCTAAAAATATTGTTTATGTAAATACTCTACACAATTACAGTACGGTAATATTAATCATAATATGATATTTGAAGCGACAGTAGCCTAATGGCAAGGAGCGGACCGCGATCTCAAAAGGTCGTGGGTTCGAATCCGCCATTCGACTACTGGCGTGAACCACTCGTAACACAAGCAATTTAAGTTTACCACGAGTGGTTAAGGGGAATATTAGTAATGTTTGTAGCATTGTTAATATTCTTTTAAAAATATATATAAAATATAAATATAATATAAATATATGTGATGACCGTTCGATACGAGTGATGATGCAGCATGCACATTTTACATTTTACAAAGAAACTTGTGTATAGCGTTATGAAGTATATACAAGCATAACAATAAAGACAATATTTCTCTAAAACAAAAGAGGGGCACATCCAGGTAGGGGAATTTCACAGACAGATGAAAAAACAACATTCTAAATTTAAAAGGCAAGCAAATCTCATAACCGTACCTTTAGCAGTATCATACGTGCACATATCATGTGCTTCAATGGTCTCATTTGTTCTAATTCTTTTTGTATTATGCTCAATGCTTTCAACATTAGTAACCACCTTTGTTAGTAATGAATAGAAAAACATTAACAATAGTATTATTGGTAACAAAATGCTAGTTATGATGAAGACTGTGTAACTGTTACAATGCAACCTCACCACTGTTGTGTTCACTGAAATAGTGTTAATCATACATTAATTTTTATTTAAATACACGTTAAATATTTTTAAACAAATACAAATTGAATAAAACAAATTTTATACATTTCATCGCGTTTAATTTTAACTTTTTATATCGATGTTTAAAATTTGAAGGTAGCCTTCGTTAACTACGGACATCAGAACATCGCTGTATACAAAACCCGGTTACCATAGACGCTATAATGCGCCCGAATTGTTATAGATATAGATGTCTTCAAGAGTGAATAGGCTTTCGTTAAGCTAAATCAGAGCACTTTTATTACCACTTACCATCAGGTAGGATAGTATTCAGCAAAATTTCAAATTATAAGAATTGAAATTAAACGGAATAAATCCGTAAAATTTATATGTGTAGTAATCGCGTAAATATAAGAAACCATTAATTACAATTTTTAATTATTAGCACCAAATAACCATGAATGATAAATTAGCCACCATTTAAGAAATAGAATAACCTTCCAAAATTAGTTAATCAAAACAAGTAAAAAGAAAGTCATGCTCAAACATAAATTTGGTCAAACCTTCGCCATTTCTCACAAGTGTGAATCTTTGCAAGATGATGTTGTGACCAGGATTAAGAAAGGAATGCTTCGGTGGTTTGGTCATGTGGAAAGAATGAATGAGGAAAGAGTGACAAAGAAAATTTATGTTGCAGAAGTGAATGGCAGAGTCGGAAAGGGACGTCCTAGGCGAAAATTTATCGACCAAATTGGCGATTTATTGAAAACGGGCCAAATTAGGAGTACCCTTAACCGACGAGCATGTATGCGGAGGTGTATGGATGTGAAGGAGGCGAGAGAGGTGTGTCAGGATCGTGCCAAATGGAAGTCTGTAGTCTCTGCCTACCCCTCTGGGTGACAGGCGTGAGTGTTTATGTTTTATATGTTATGTTATGTGAATCTGTAGTTTAATAATATAAACATTTATTAGAAGAAAATGATGACTTTTCAGGTTCTATCAGGTCTCCGTCGATGCCCTTCTTGACTCCTCGGACCATTGTCTGATCCGGAGTACGGTGCCACTAACGCTCTCATCGCGGTTGCGTACTGCAGGATACCGCCGTGTTTGGCATTATAGGTCAGCTGATTGGGACGGGATGCGATCTTTTTTGCATCCTACCCTTGGAGGCGGGTTTGCTTCTTGCCGGATGATCCCAGCGTTGTTGCTGATATTGTCGCTCATGTGGTGCTACAGGGAATGGAACTTTTTATTCCATCATCTGTGGTACCTATCGAAGGCAGAACCCAGCCTTGGTTTGGTCGCTCCTGCAAAATTGCACTACGTCATAAATAGGAGCGCTACCGGGCCTAGGCTCGGGCATTGACGTCTCTGGAAGCAAATACCAGCGCTCTTAAAGAAAAGTACAATTCTGCCTCCAGGTCCTTCAAAAGTGTCATTGTCAAGGCAAAGTCAGAGCACATCGGCAGAATTGGCGAGAAACTTGTTCATCTTCCTTCGGGAACACGTGCGTTCTGGTCTCTCGCCAAGGCTATCCAAGGGAACTTCTGTCAGCCATCTCTCCCATCTCTGCACAGGAAGGACGACTCACTGGCCCATGCCGCAAAGGACAAAGCCGATCTGCTGGGCTCTCTCTTTGCGTCCAACTCGACTCTTGATGACGGGGTTAACTCATCGCCGACCATCCCGCGGAGTAAGCGCTCCATGCAGGATGTCCGGTTTACCCAACGCTCAGTGCGCAGAGCACTACTCTCCCTGGAAGTCAACAAGTCGAGTGGGCCGGATGGCGTCCCTCCTATTGTGCTGAAGACGTGTGTTCCAGAGTTGGCACTTGTTTTAACGCGTCTTTTCCGGTGCTCTTACTCCCTCGGCGTAGTCCCGAAACCATGGAAGGCAGCTCTCGTGCACCCGGTCCCTAAAAAGGGTCAGGGGAATCACGCTCTGATCCGTCTAACTATAGGCCTATCACCATCACCTCCTTGTTCTATAAAATAATGGAATCCATTATTAACAACCAGCTCATGCGGTACTTTGAGGATCACCAGCTGATTAGTGACCGCCAGTACGGTTTCCGTCGCCGTCGCTCGGCTGGTGATCTTCTGGGTTACCTAACTGAGTCCGAGTCCTAGGGGGAGGCATTGGCCGTTAGTTTGGACATAACGAAAGTCGGGTTCGATCGGGTTTGGCACAAAGCGCTTCTTACGAAGCTTCCTTCCTATGGGCTTCTTGAGAAATTGTGCACTTAGATCACCAGTTTTCTTGCTGATCGGAGCATCAAGGTCGTAGTAGACGGTGCATGCTCCGATTACAAGCCCATTAACGCTGGCGTTCCACAAGGCTGCGTGCTTATCATAGCAATGAATGTTACATGTTGCAAACCGGTAACATTCATTGCTATGTAGACGACAGCACTGGTGATGCTTTATACACCTGCTGTGCAAATATTTCTCGGGAAAACGTCGCTGAATACCGGGACAAACTTGTGTTTCAAGTCGAAACTTTGTTGAACAAAGTCTCTGACTGGGGGCGACTAAATCTAATCCAGTTTAATCCCCAGAGACACAAGTTTGCGCGTTTACCGCTAAAAAACCCTTCGTCGTATCTCCTTAGTTTCAAGGTACTCCCCTTGTTGCCTCAGCCAGTATCGGAATCTTCAGCATCGACATATCGAGTGATGTGCAGTTTCGTGGTCACTTGGAAAAGAAGGCCAAATTGGCCTCTAAAAAGCTTGGCGTGACAGTATTTCATGCTAGCTCACCGCCTGCAACTTTACAAGGCGCAGGTTCGGCCGCACATGGAATACTGTTCCCATCTCTGGGCCGGGGCTCACCAGTGCCAGCTCCTTCCAATTGATCGCATCCAGCGCAGAGCTGTTCGAATCGTCGGCGACCGAGCTCTTTCCGATCGGATTGACTGACTGGCACTGCGACAAGATGTCAAATCAAATCTCCTTGTGTATTTTATCACATCTACCACGGGGAGTGCTCTGAGGAATTGTTTGGACTAATTCCAGCAGTACAATTTCACCATCGCACATCGCGACAAAACTCGCGATACCATCCGCACCATCTGTATGACTGGCGGTCAACCACTAAACGATTTAAATAAGTTTTCTTCCTCGCTCAACTTCCTTGTGGAACCGACTACCACCAGAGATTTTTCCGGACCGATACGAATTATGGACCTTCAAGAAAAGAGCCTACTCCTTTTTAAAAGGCCGGCAACGCATGTGCAATACCACTGGTGTTGCAGTTTTCATGGGCGGCGGTAATCACTTACCATCAGGTGAGCCGTATGCTCGTTTGCCCCCTTTCCTATAAATAAAAAAATTTAAGCATTTCTTAAACTGACATAAATTTTTATGAGTAAGGCCCATAAAAATTAAAGGTTTCCTGCTCTAAAGAAAATAATTAATGGTCAAGTAAAGTAAATGCAAAGACCACTGTAAGTGTTTTTTAGTAAATCACTTTTGATTTACATTACATACTTACTTTTAATAGTACTTAACTTTTGAGCATTAAAAAACAAACTTAAAGATAGTTCGATGAATTTGACTTATGATAATATACATAATTAATTTTAGAAACAATACTTAGGAAGGACATCAAAAAGAATTATCGCTATATTCTCATTCTGACTATAGCTACAAGAATCAAAAAAGAAGTTGCTACAACAGAGAGACATTCTAAATTCTCATTTCATATCACATCAATTATATATTTTTTTTTTTGTTTTCATGAGTATTAATGTTTTTCTTTCTTCCCTTTTTGTCCATCAAATTCTAAACAAATGACATCTAACCGTTATAAAACCAAATAATAGCAAATGTTAAAATTTAAAAATGGATTTGAACTCACAGATTTTTGTCGAACTTGACGCAGGTGATGAACTATAACTCTCTTCAGTCTTAGTTCTCAATACTATTATGAGTGCACAAATACCTCCGATCACAGCAACACCAAGTGCAAAGAAGCTCCACTTGTGCCATGTTAACATTTCTTGTTTTTTTATTGCTGCAAAATTAATTCAAATACAAAACACTATGTACAACAAACTTTTGTTCTTTTTACTACTATAATTTTAATAAACATTAAATTAAATGTAATCTAATAGAGTAACATTTGTAAATGCATTTAACAAACAGAGAGATGGACGAATTTTGAAAAAAGGAAAAGAAGGTATATTAGCTTCCAGTTTCTTGAATATTGTATTCTTCAACCTTTACCAGCCTATTAACACTACTACTGACACAGGTTGTCGTTATTAGAGGATTTATTATAATCATCATGTGTGGCAGGAATACATGATTGCAGTGCCAGATTGAGGTGGGTAGGAGGTGGTAGTCAAGCCCTTCTGCCTAGAAATCCATCTGAATGCATACCAACTTTTTACCTGTTTCTGCCATCATCAGCAATGTGTACACTGTAAAACTCTAAGAGGACTCTGGCTTAGGGTACCAGTATAATAACAGACTGTGACATATTCCATCTTAATTGTCAGAGGCAATAACGCGTATCTTTTTCCCCTTCTTTGTTTGAAGTTGGTTGCAGATATCTATGGGCTGCTGTCGTCACTCACCATCAGGTGGGGGCTGTAAATTCATATGTCACTTCAATTTTTTTTAGAAAAACGTTTCACATCATTGACTTTGCTTCTCATCACCGGCTTATATATTTTACTTTAAGCACATAAAATCTTTTTACGAGCCTGTTGTGGACATAGTAGCCTCCATCCACTGCCTGTTTTGGTTGGGTTCAAATTGGGTGAATTTAGGCTACTTACCCCAAACTTTTGGCGACTTGGACATAGGTCTTAGACTTATATTATTACAGGATAATGTTGTGTAGGATATATAAGAAGCAGTACATTTACCCCGTATACGACAAAATAAATAATACCAGAGCAGCTCAATATTTTAACATGTATTCTTCAAATTTTCTGTTTTTGGCGCTTTGCGCTTGTACACGCTAAGTAAAAGCCGCCGGGTCTATGCAAGAATTCGGGTCGTTTTTTCACGCGAACTGTGTACAATGCTCCGGCGCTGACAAAAAGATATCTTGTCTGCACCGGACAAGACGAGCTCTGTGTTGTTGCGGTGAAGGGAGGGGCGAAGTAACTGAGTTGCTTAATTTGAGTACTTTTGCACATGCGTTGACGTGTTTTCGTACTTTTTCAGTTTTTTTTATATATAATATGCAATAATCATTTTTAACTTCATAGCCTTCATTACAAACAAACTTACTTTAACTAGTGAACCATACCCTACGCACGACTGACTCTATTTATCTTGTCTGAAGCAGACACGACAAATTTTCGTAGTTAGATCCGACACAATTCTTGTCGTATACATGATGAATTAGTCTTATCTTATCTGCCATAGGCACGGTGAAATTTCTTAGCGTGTACAAGCCCCCTAAGAGTAAAAGAGAATGAGGCATACACTTCAATAGCACGTCTATTTATTTAATGAACATTTAGATTTTATGAACATTACATTACATTTCCATGAACATTACGTAGATAGTATTATTTTAGAAAATAAGGTAAAGTTACTAATGCTTGACAGTGAACTAAAGGGTGACACATTCGAAAAAAATCTTTTATTAAGAATGTTTTTCTTGATATAACTTTACTACTGTTGTTAAAAGACAGTGTCATCTATGACGCTACAAAACCTTTCATTTGCCTATTTAGGTAAATTTCAAAATTGCATCAGTTTGAAGTAAACTATGTAGCAAGTGAACGCGTGCTCTGTGATTTATTACCAAAAGATTTAAGGAGGTTGATATTTCATAGGTTTTATTTCGTTTTATTATTTTTACGATTTATCCTAATTATGTTTTGCTTAAATTAAAAAGATATCATTTATATAGTAAGAAACCACAACAACAAAAACAGAAAGGCAAAAATAGCGCTGTTTCAAACTTCGATTGAGGATGCAACTACAAGAGGCAGCCTATAAGGTGGTGTTTTGTCACCCCTTCTTTAGACTCTTACGGTTGACCAACTATTGTACAAAATGTGCAGACCTACGCATTGACACACTGGGTTATTCTGTTGACCTTGTGACAATTGCGAGGGGCTTCTGCAATGTACTTTATCGTCAATCATACAAAGAGCCCTAAACACCATAAATAACTGGTGTAGGGATAACAGTTTATCAGTTAATGCTGATAAAACTGTTATAATACCTTAGCTTAGCAGTGAACTATAGCCATAGCAGCGATCACCATAGATATTTTTTAGGTCGCAGTGATACTGGTCTCCTTCCCTAGACCTGCATAGTTGCTCACACATAATAAAAAAGACCCCACAAACTTCGTTTTTCGTTTATATGTTGTAATTATTTAAAGTGTCTATTATTAGTGAAAAATATTAGTCAAAACTACCTAAATAACATATATCATTTATTGGGGTGATACAAATCTGAATTTCTAAGTGTCTGTTCAAACGAGTAAATACTCTATTTCCTATGAATAAAACCTTATAATATACCTTATAATAAATAAAAATTTAACTACATTTTCACTATCATAACTAACAATATACAGGTGGTCAATTATTAGAGTACAGGATACAAATATTGGTGTCATCGTCAAATAGTTAGATGAACAATTGAACAAAATGCCGCCAATAAAAGGAAAGATGTTTTGTTATTCTAAACTAATATAGAGGCAGCTATAGAAGTTGCCGACAGCTACTACTGCCAAAAAATTTGGTGTACCGAGAGTGACTCTATTGAATAAAGTAAAGGGAACAGAATTAGAAGATGAGAAAAAAAGAAGAGCTGAAGAGAGGAAAATGAAGAAAAAACAAAACGAAGAGGCACAGAAACAAGACTGCATACAAATTAGCTAAGAAAAATCTGTAAAGAAGAAAATTAATGATACTAAATATAGTAGTGACATGAGTACTGACACTGAATGGCTAGAATCTGGAGACGTATCTAACGAGCACGAAAATGATGATTAAGATGATGTATGTTAAGTACAAGAAGAAGATATCAAGCAGAGTGAATATGTAATTGTTAATTTTCCCGGGAAAAAGAAATTTTACAAATATTGAAACTCACATTTGAATTTACAATATATGACAGATGTTGAAGTTATGGCCATGATGTGTTGTGTGATCAATCCAAAACAGTATTTAAAGAAAATGATGAAGATATCAGCACCATCAGTAAATCTCAAATACTTGCAGTTCTCTATCCCCTAAAATGATTATAAAAGGTGTCAGAATTAAATATAAATTTGATGTGTCTACAAGTTGATGGATAACACTCAATATAAAAATATTTTACTGGTACCTCACTATATGAGAGCTTATTTTATTATAGTTTGGTGCTTGATTTGATTAAACATATACTTTAATATGATAAAAATGTGCATGTCTAATATGTCTACTATTAGTGCTTATTGATGTCTATTAATAGTGGTAATAGTGGTAAGAATGTCATGTTTTAGTTCCTATGCCAAAGTTGAAATAAATACAAATTGTAATATAAAGAATGATGATTATTTAAGTTTTCATGATTAAAAGTTGTTTTTGTAATGTTACTGTACTCAGATAAATACTTCTCTAATTGTCATTCATCCATTGTTAATTGCTTCTATATATTACTTCGCAACAAGTGAAACATCAATCACGTTTTGTAATACATATGTATGGTAGTGCAATGTATGAAACAGCAACAATACAAATGCTTCTCAGTTCTCATAACTACAAATGTACTGCAGAGCTTCAAGACGATTCTGCTTTGAGGTTAAGTGAGAGATACAAGTGTCATAGTTTTCTTGCTTAAAATTTATCGTTTTATTAAGTGCTTTTGATTTACTATAGTTACATTTATTGTCTTGGTGGTGGTTTTATCATCTGTAAATTAGTAAGTGTTTTTAGTTGTGCCGTTATTATGTAATTTTTTGTTGTAGAAGTATAATGGAGGACGAACCTCCCGATCCCGGAAGGGTTCGCAATGATTCCGTTTCCTTACACATTAATATTGATAATGTAGAAATAATTAACCGTAAACGTACCCAAGCAAGTAACGGGTCTGCCCATCCACAAAAAATAGTTATTACTGATCCAAACTAACAGTTTCTTTCAATACAATCCTCATATACCCATCCTGATTTTATTAATAAAAAAGTTAAGTACCTACTCTCAAGATGATGCTGCTCCTTTTCTAGTTCACGTAAGTAAAATCTCAAATGATCAGCTGTCTGGTAACTCTTAAACCAATTATATTCTGTCACTTTCTGTATCATAATTAGGGATGGGACGAATATGGATTTCACCGAATACGAATATTCGGCCGAATGTTCGGTAAAACTTTTACCGAACCGAATATTCGGCCGAACATTATTCGACGACCCAACGGACCCAACCAATTTATGTCAAAACTTGTTACCGTAAAGCGCGCGGAATTAGCGCCGGACCCTGCCTCTTGCTCCCCGCCACACCTGATAGTTCTCTTCTAGTAGTTCAGTTTCATCATCCAGTACTGAGGAAATTGCCGGCACATGCTTATGTTTTGACTATTCTTGTTATAAAAAAGTATTTCATTGTTTTGCTATCAGTGAAAATTGATAATTATATGATAAAAATTAGCGGCAGGAGATTTACTATTTGGACTTATTTTAGAGAAACTGACAACCGAAGTAAAGTGAAATGTACTAATGTAATGTAATGTTTCTTTGTTAGATTCCAAAAACATTTTATCAAGTTTCTATTTGTTATAATTGGAAATAAATCTACAGTGCCTCAAAAACATAAATGTATAGATTTATGTATTTGAGGCACTCTAGAGTAAGCAGATTTAACCCATAAATAAAATATACTTTCAACAGTAAAAGACATCGCATTACTCAATTCGTACATTTCAGTACATTGAACACAATGAAAACGAATGTTCGGTGATTTAGCCGAATATTCAGCCGAATACAAATATTCGGTAAAGTGCCGAATATACCGAATACCGAATATAAAACGAATATTCGGCCCGTCTCTAATCATA